AAATTAGTCTAAACAACTGACAATATAACGATAACAATCTTAGCTCCCCTATTCCTCAATTTATTTCTTAGATTCTTTCTGAATTCAGGTTAATTAGATAAGGCATTTATTTTAACTGAAGATTGTGCACCACAATACAGACCTAATTATATAGGCTGAATGTGTCCCGAGGAAAAAAAAAGCTTCTTGCATTCTAAAGTAACCTGTCAAGCATTTAAAATATGTGTCATGATTACTTTAATATCAGTCAATTTACCTTTTAGAATTAGCTAACTATGGGAATTGAAGTGATGAAGATGTTAACAGCTGTATACAGTGACGTTAGATTTCCTTATGTATTAGTCTGTAAAACTCACCTAATAAGTGACCGGATACGAAAATACTTCAGTGTTGACGGTTGAAAGTGAAATACGCAAGCCACTTTACAACACCATCTTTTGACTGAATTGTAAAATCCTCCAATGTGTGCTGCTTCCTACAGGCCTTATTCACACTTACATTTAATTGCTGACTTTTATTCCTGATTTGAATACTGGACAGAACTCTGAGTGGAATTCGTTTGAGTCTTAAAACTCAGTCAGCTGGTTAGGAAGTCAGTAGAACATAGTTCACTGTGTTTTTTGTTCGTTTTGTGTCGCCGAAAACTGCAGGAATTTTTTAACAGTTTAAGGAGTTCAGATGCCTACTGCTCAAACCTTACCTCAGATCAGGTTTAATTATTCAACGCGTTACACTTTCAAGATTATTAACATTTTTTATCTGTAACTTTCGCACTTTTGAATATTAATTCTGCATAAGATGCATAAGATCTTAACTATTTTACTGATAAGGTAAAGTCTAGTTTAGAAATAAGTAGACAAATTCAAATATGATTCTGCATGAATCAGTTTGAGGAATTATTCTTCGAAACGGCGCAGAGTACAGAAGATAGAAGGAACAAAGGGACACTGTAATGAAAGAACACACATGACATACACAAAAACGGAAATCATTTAAGATATTCAAAATTACAATGACCAGGGGCTATTAAGGACAGTTTTGAGTGAGATATCCATAAAGCTGTCCAACCATTATTTCACAGAATTTGTTCAACACAAATCAACTAAAATAACGCTAATAACAAGACTCAGACAATCAGTAAAGTAGTACATTTTTCAGTCAATATTGTGTAGAAAAAATATGGTCCGGCATGCATAAAAAAGTATCCCAATTTCCTCAATCTATGGAGATTAGCAGTCTCAGCCTACGACTTATCTTTTTTATTTTTGTTTATTTTTTATTTTTGATTTACAGCTTGATCCCACACTGTATTTTTGGTACAAGTATGGAATTTTCAGCATGTGGTATCGGTAACCCGAATTTCGCAGGCCGATCATAGATATCAGGTGTGCTTCGTCGGCAGGGTATCGAACCTCGGACCATGTGCATGGTTGGCGAGGGTCCTAACCACTGTGCAACCGACGCACCTACCATATATATTCACTATTAATTTGTTTAATGTTAACAATATTATTTACTGGATGACATTTTGAACTCACTTCATTGTTTATGATCATGTAGAAATTTGATTTTAGTAGTTCTCATACATCTTTTTTTTTCAGTTGGCGTACAGACAGTGTAACTCTTCAGATTCTCAGAACAAGTGCTGAATAATTCTTGTTGCACATATGCTTGATTGATTCGGTAAATTTAGCTAAATTTATTGAAAACTGCATTATGAATAATTCAGCACTTGTCCTGACCATCTGAAAAAGTCGTCCAAAGACACAGAGGAAAGAGAACTTCAGATGAAAACTGAGAAGAGTTAGGTGATGAAAGTAATCCAGTCAACGACAACAACAACAATTGATTACCATCACTGTTGAAACATTTGAAGAAACACATTGATGTAAGAATAATATGAGATGAAAAATAAACTAAATGACATTCAACTAGAGAATGATGAAAAAATGGTTAGTTTTGATATAACTAGTCTTTAGACTAATATACCAGTCAATATGGCCTTAGAAGCAGTTGAAAAAGAACTAACTGCGGATCCTGGACTCAATCATAGGATAAAGCTGCCCATTGGATAAATTATTTTAGAAATTTAGTTATGCCTCAGATCTACCATCTTCAAATTCCAAGGCAAAATATATAGAAGGTGTAGCAATACGATGGATCACCAATACCCCCTATCGCAGCAGATATATTTATGGACAGTTGGGAAAATATCGCTCTTAATACATTTAATCCTACTTCAAAAAAACAAAATATGGTGGAGATATGTGGATGACACTTTCACACACAGTGTTAAAAACAGAACAAATCTCTTTCTAGCTTCTTGACACATATAAAATCACTAGTAAAGGGAATAAAATTCACATTGAAATAGGAAAATAAACAAGGAGAATTAGCTATGTTATATTTTCAAATAAAACGAATAGAAGAAGGCAAACTGCACACTAGCTTTTATAAAAAGCCAACGCATTCTGCTAATAGATATTTAGACTTCAATTCATCTCATCCGTTGTCTGTCTGTAAAGGCTGGCTTAGTTAAGTGTCTAACAAACGTCGGCACTAGCAACACTATGTAGTACTGTCAATGATTTCCAAACTAGGATGAGGGAACTGTCTAGTACCCCCTGGTTTCAATGATTCTCTAACTGATATCAATCCGTGATCAACTCGTAAAAACTAAGTAGTACAAAAATAGACCTAAATGATGAAATAAACCAGATAGAAGAAGCGTCCGTGTCAAATAGCTATCTAAGAAAATTCATTAGGAACTAATGATAATGATAACATAAATAAGAGAGAATATAAGTCATCTACAGTTATACCATATAAATAGAGGATATCTGAGACCCTACTTAGGATTCTTATATAAAGCAGGAATTAGGCTGGTGGTGGCATTTAAACCTACAAACTCACTCAGCTCGCACAAGCTGTGTAGGTGGTTACAGGACCCTGTTGACCCAATTAGACAAAATAATATAATTTTCAAAATACCCTGCGATGACTGTGAATTAGGTCAACTGCATAGGTCAAACTAATAGATCGGTGGTAGTCAGATTGACGGAATATAAGCATTTAGCTAAGGTAAGAATGGTTGACCACGAGAAGATAAGTAATTTAGAAAAAAAACTCAGCAGTTGCAATGCATGCATTAACACACAACCACACAATAGCATGGTGGGAGACGGTTAAGATTCTAAAGAGTAATCTAGGTAGGTGGAAAGAGAGGTTGATTACTGAATCCTTGTTCATCGAATCTACACCGAACACGTGTAACAGGAATGACTCATCACCCATACTGGAGTTATGGAAAATACTACTACTACTACCGGTCAAGTCAAGCAGTGGAAAATAACGGAATTATATAAACGAAATAAGAAAGTTGTGTGAGTAGTGCATTGATATAATTATGAGCAGTAATAAATTGTGCTCAAAACGTCATTAGTAAACATTACATTGTATAACATTGTGAGACTTTATCAAAATAAATTCTACCCACAATTGAAGAAATGCATCTCTTTTACTTACTCACTTCGATATCATTATTTTATTATTTATTTTTTTTTGTTTCTATTTTTGATTACAGCTTGATTCCACACTGTATTTTTGGTACAAGTATGGAGTTTTCAGAATGTGCCCCCTAACCACTGTGCCACCGATGCACAGTGGTTAGGGGGCACAACTGGCGATGTCCAAGCCAGTCAATTAATACAGGCGTTCATTACTGTGAAATCAGTGTGGACACCTACAGCACTCAAAACAATGAGTTTTTTTAAACATTAATTTCAAGTTAGCCTTTCTATTTTATTCAGAGACTTGGCGCGACTGACACCAAAAGCATTTCCAACAGGCTTCTACTAACTTTCATTAATAACTACCTCGCTCAGTTTACAAATAAAGATCAGATGGATAGGAAAGACAAGCGATAGAGAACTCTGAGAGGCAGCCGACACAACCTATTGCTCAACAAATATGCAGAAGAAAGTGAAAGTGGATTGAACAGGTATTCAAATGACATCTCACATGTGAAGTCGTCAAACGGAAGTTGAACAGGAAACGACGGGTTTTGTACCCAGTGGTGGCGTGGAGAAGATAGTGTGAGGAGGCAATAAGGGCTTCCGGTCAGGCATTGGGGGGCGGGGGTGCAGATAAAAAATGCTAGCAAGGAACAAAGGACAATTGAGATATACGCAATTGAAGCTCTACTTTCTCCTTGAAACGTTAGGAATGAATACTTTTGATTATTAACGATGACAAACAGTGAGTGTATCTGATGTACTGAACGCATTATTTTACTGTGCAATTTTTCAAATGTTCTGATAGCATCCTACAGATCTGTTGTTAAAGATTCTGCATTTTCCCTCGACAACTCAGGCTAACAGTCAAACAACCAACACTTACTTCATAGGAGATATACTAATCCAAACACCTCAAAGTTTCATTCATATTAGTCCCGCATCTACTAGAAAAAAAAAGTCTGCAATTAAGCAGTTTTAAATGCTAAACACGCATTTTCTACTTTAAGCTCTTCACTTTTTTTCCATCTCATTAAGAACTTAACTTCCCTTGTATGAAACCTAATTTTAACCTCTGAATTTCTCAATCTGACAGAACAGAAATGACTGGTTGACGTATACATTGCAAGTCACCTCATCTTGACCAATAAAACGAAAACAGGTTTCTTTTTTATGAAAATAACAGTTATTATTATCATCAGTAGTAGTGGAAAATAAACTAGTTCAAATTGTAACTCTAAAATACCACGCGAAAGTAGTAAATTTGTTTTAACAAATTTATTTTATGTACAAATTTTTTAACTACTAACAAGTAGTTAAAAAGGCACCAAATTTTCTAAAAAAAAACAAGCATAATGCATTGATTGGTCTGAAAATGCCTTGTCGTTCATTTATTCACTGTGCAAACGACTTGTTTCTGTTTTTGTATTTTGATAAAAAAAATAGCCTTCTGTATTTCGGTGTATCTCTTAGAGAGGAAATCTATCCTCACCTTACACTTTTGGACTTATGATTTGTAACACAGGTGGTCGGTCGAAGAGCTTGATTAACTTTCGCTTTGCGAGGACAATACGATTGTTTCTCATATACATCAGTCTCTTTAATTATGTCGCCATCTGATGAATACTCTGTTGTTTGATACTCACTCAGTATAAATCTTGGATTCTCACCTAATTCAATCAAAATATGATAGTCAAATGCAACAGTGAAAAATGATCTGACTGGATTGATTTGAGGTGATCCCCAGGGAAATGAAGCTTGATAGGTTGTCTGAATTCTGCTAGTAAATAAACTGTTGTTCGACTGGAGTTGATTTTCAGCTTTTGGTAAGTAACTACGAAACAAAATTTGACCATCAACAAGAACAGAGAATTCTTTTACACCTCTTTCCGGTGTTCTTGTATAATTCCATAAGCGTATACCAGCAACACAGATAGGTTTATTGAAGACAATGAAAATCTTATTTATTAGTCTTGGTAATATTGGAGCCAGCCAACAGTGTCTAGCCATTTCATTTGCACTACTGACAATCACATTGTCAACCAGCTTGTCAATTGTACGTACGTCAGGTAATAAAATCTCCCCTGGGTATAGATCGTTAACAGAACTAGGATAAGCGAATATCTCATTTTTACTGATTGGTATAACATTGCCTTCAGGCGATAGAAATTGAACACCATCTAGTCCAACATAAAACTGGTCACCCCAGCTAGAAAATATATTCAATTGATAGACAAATCCTATTGGCAAATTATGATATTTAATTCTAGACGATAAGCTGTGAAGCATAGTTCCATTCTCCTGAAATTCAGATATATTTATTGTCTGTCCAAATGGATAATCTGTATGACCTGGCGCTTGTCTAAGTAGAACTGTAGACTCATTTAAAATCAACTCTTTTGCATGGAACTGCTCTGATTTCTTTAGCTTTACATTGATCAGTTTGCATCCATAGTCACAGCCAACCTGACGATCATTATAATTCCATATCCGAAGTCCATCAAATACAGATGGAAATATTGAGTCTTCTACATCCAGATAAAATTTTAACACTGGTGGTGATGAAAATGAATTATACGCAGTGTACCACATTTCACTGGCATCGGTTGTGTTATTCCGTGAATTCAATAAATTCTCCACATAATTCCTAACATTTCCATTGTCTATAGTTGATGACACTGGACTACCATCGTTAATTTGTATACGGTTAATCTTTATAGGATTTCCAGCCTTATTGAAGAATTCAATACCAGTAAGGCCAATATATTCAGAACTATAAACCCAAGGTTCTAATAGAGCAATCTCGACTGAACACGTCTTACAGATTTCCGTGCTATAACCATCATTAATGATTAGCTCAGAAAATTCTGTAGGTAGGAAAGATGTTTCAGATTCTTCTACATTGTTGTCAAGATTATTCTCCTGAGAGAGAGAAATACTAGTAACAGGTCGTTTAACACTGTCCTCACTATCTGATGCTAACCAAGTGTCACCACAATTCTCACTCTCCTTCAAATGCAATAGACTGTCATTTTTCCCAATCAAATCCAAAATTGTATTATGTGTACAGAATAGAATTGTTTCACAAAAATTCTCCGGTTCACCAAACTCTAATCCTGATGCTTTGCTTATTTCACCATAAAATATTGGCTGATTATCCAGGTAAATAATCATTTCTTTAACACCTCTATAAGAGTGTACACGTGACTTATTGTAGTTCCATATACGTAATAATGCTATCGGTGAAGTCATAGACTGAGGGAAAGTAATCTCTATGAAGTGTCTTTGACCTGAAGTGAATGGTGTCAGCCACATATGCGTATCATCACGTGTCCAATTAACGCCATCAATCAAATTGGTCACTACTCTTGGATCATTACCATAACCTGGTAGCGTATTGATATCTGAGGGATTCGCTGTAATTTTACACAAACCTGCAATATCTATGCCATCTGATGTGAATATCTCGATACCCGTCAGACCAACATAATATAAATCTCCCCATGTTGAAATAATGTCAATTAATAATCTATTTCCAGAAGGCAGTTCAGGAATAACAATATCATTTGCGTCAACTCTGGATGGATAATATTCAGTTGATGTATAATCTAAATTTTTCAATTCAACTTCATTGGAATTATGAGCTCTTAACTTTTGACTTTCATTTTTACTGGATTGGAATGAAAAGTTTGGCGAGTCTATAGCAACAGGATCTTCTAAGATATGAAAGCAGGAATTATGTTTTGCATGTGATATATTTCTCACTGAAATTCGACCTTCATGAAAATGATTGAAAAAATCCAGTGAACTCCATGATTCTTCTAGTAAACTGTTTATGCGATCACGTCCACTGATTCTACGTTTCATATTAATACGATGAAATGAATAATTCAACAAGTCTGTATTTACATTTGATAATAAATGAATATTTTTGTCTTTATGCTTACTTTTACTCATATGTGAATCAGAAAACCAAATATTTAGTTTAGATGAAGAATCCTGTTCCCCAGTAGCATTACTGTGAATACAATCACTTTTATCATTACCATTTAGTACATCAACATCATTAGGCTGTGTCATTTCTGAACTTGTTAAATATTCACTTGAATTATTTTTCAAACATCTGGAATTGTCATCTTTCTGAGGATATAATATCTCATTAATATTTAAGAATATACTGGTTACTGAGTTGTCAATAGATGTTTCATCGCCTTTCTGTAGAATCCCATCATAAAGTACTGTTGATCTATCTGCACACATGACCTTCAGTTGGCAATTTTTGACTCCAATTTCAGACTGACTTAACTGTATGAAATTCCATATGTTCACTGTAAGTGTATGTTCCAGATAAGCTTGACTCAACAAACAACTGAAATTAATGCGTACTGGCAGATTTTCAACATTTGTTAACCACATATCTTCAAGATTTCTGGTATTGAAGGATGATTTGAACAGCTTTTTGTTGTTTTGTATTGAGGAAATAATACTGTCACTTGATTGAGCAGACTTGAGTGAGTAAACACTAGCAGCTACCTCAGGATAAATTTGTACTGAACTTGTACTATGCGCTTTCATTTCAAAACCGTTTAGTCCAACCCAATTTTTATCTCCCCAGTTATTGAAAATATCAAAAGTGAAAACAACTTTAGTCAATTTTTCATCTGTTTTTTCTTCAACTGTCAGACAGTTAACTCCATCCTGCTTAGTGTAATGACTAAATGCATTTGTATTGCACAAAGAATCCCCGTGATCATTATTTAGGAAATAACTTAACTGGGAAACACTTCGATTTCTTTTATTGTTCATTTCATTGTTTCGTAGTAAATTTGGACAGTTCACCGGTTTAGGAGTAGATCGAGGTGAAGAGGTAGTTTGTTCTAAGGGAAGGATTTCACTGTACGGCAGGACTACATCACCCCATGACTTACGTTTATATTTTTGTTTAGTCATATCAGGAGCACTTCTGTTACGTTTATTATATCGACTGGTATTGTGTTCATGAGATGTGTTTTTCAAATATTTTGCTGCAGCATTGAAGTACAACTGAAAACCTTTCTCTAAACGCTCTTTCTCCAGATCTTCTTCAGTCTTTCTTTGCAATAATAATCTTTGCTTGTTACGTTCTTTTAAATAGGCTAAATAACTTTCATAATTTGAGTCGACTTCCTCGACGACCACTTTGACTGGTTGATGCGTCATTGGCATTTTATTGTGTCAGAGTGTGGAGCGAAATTCAATCAAACCAATAACCAGAGGTATTCTGAAAAGTGAAAAATACTAAAAAAAACTTAATACTTGAAATGATAAGGTGATGCATTTTCACTATACAGCTCTAATATTTTATCCTAAGGAGCATTAACCAAACCACAGTCTACCTCACAAACTTCTCCCTATATTTCCTCTTTGTAATTTTCAATCAGCACTATTCCGGGGCGGAAGTTAAAGGGTTTTACAACTAAATTATAGGAACTTTAGAGAGCTTCATGTTCACATAGAATAAAATACTTTCATGGATGACCTAATATTAAGCCATTGCATATCTACGCTTTTTGGGCTGAAGCAGTTTTACCAGTTTAATATTGTCTCCTCGCCATAAAGTTCAGCAGTGTAAAATCACTGCCCACTATATATAGCCTAAATCATTCGAGGAAAATCCTGCATTTCAGTTTCTTGCTTCCTAACAATCATAAAAATGGTGTATATAAACGTTCTAGGACCTTTATGAGGGGTCTGACATTCGAACTGGTGATTTTTTTTCTTAATGTCAAGTAATATCAAACTTTTCTGAGTTTGATATTCGGTGAAAGCGTACAATATTTATAGCTAAACAATGGTACTGAGAAACTTTGGCAATCCGGGTGTATGGGAAATATTTAAAATAAATCAAACGTATATGAAACCACCAACTTTCCCATCAATCTCTGTCGGATGCATTGTAAACAAGTGGAAACAGAGCTGAGCACTGATAAGTTCTCCGTATGACTAGGAGCTGACATCACCACTGAAAAACAGGGAGTATTGGTCAGCCATTTTGCCCTAGCTTGGGAATCTTCAGAAGCACACACCTGTGGTGAGAGCAGGCTGCTAGCCAATTGGTAGACATTAATCTACGTCAATGTCTAGGTCACTAATATTGGCCGTGAGAAAATATGAACAAGGCTGTTTCAACAACCAATCACAGCAAACTTAACGTGGGCAAATATGATTCGCAGATAGATGGCACTACTTTTCGATGTTTCCCGAAACAACCAATCAGAAGACTGCGTTTGTCTACTTGAATAAGATATAATAATGTATGTGAAATATATATAAAAATGTGTTGATTTCCGTAATAAAACGATCTGTTGCCTGGCCCTTGTCTTCTGTTGTTACACACCTACTAGGGGTCGAACCCAAGACCATGAGGTTACGAGGTGAGCACTTTGTCCATTCACTAACAGATGTGGAACCCAATGACTGATCATTTCTAACCTCTTCTGATTCTCAGCATATGGCGCCATCACTAGAAAATGTCACTGGCGAGTATTTTTCGTAACACCCAACTCGATGAATTGTACTGATTAGGAGTTTTCGCCGGAAATCTGGCTAAATTAATCCTGTAGTACGTCACTAGTGAGCATTACATAAATTGTCAAGCGTCCGTTTGCAGAGATTAGATTTGTTTCAAGTCCGGTCACATCACAGAAGAATATGATTAAGCTACTTTGCTTTTTGATACATTTAGAAAATGCATTCACAGGAAGAACAATGAGGGATAATATCATATCATCGTCCTTCAGTGATCTGGTTGTATTTTTGACCTAGAGCTATGCACACAAGTACAAAACTTTATGTTGACACATTTTGTGGAAGCGAACTTAAAGATACAAAAGAGGAATGAAATTAAACTAAAATGGCGCAGTCGCAAGCAATAAAAATACAGAATCTGGATAATGTTAAGGGGTGAATATGTCTGCATCATTCAGAACAAGTTTAATCCACTTCACAAGCAGTCTACAGTCATTAAATCATGGCATTCTAAGGGCCTTAGTGATTACATTACAAGCAAAATGGTTCATATGAGTAAAGTGTTTGACAGCGTTTTTTGAATTTTGAAGATAAAAATATAAAATGAATTTATAGTTCCACTAGTTTATGACAAACAGTATAGAACCTGTTGATTCCTAAACACATAGTTTTAGGTGGATGCGAATAATTCAAAATGTTTCTGTGACTCATTATAATAAAGGTTTTTGTATTTTCCAATGAATAAAAAACAAAACGATATTGTTTTTACTGACGTTTCACCATTTAATGCTGACAGCTTTATCAAAGTATTATTAAATCAGAACTATAATTAATATCATATACCCACTGCCCAAATTTTTTCAAACTGTTAAAAGTAAACTTGGCTTGGACATATATGCTTCTGTGACCCTTAATACGTAAAAATAAGAACTATATGGAATAATTTCGGGGTAGTTTGTAGTGCTTCCATTACTAACCACCAATAAACTTTTGAGGACGGATGATGTTGAGTTTTAATTCAAAATAATATAGGATGCAGTGATCACTTAGGAACAAAGTCTTTCTGACGACAGTAGGACATGCTAATACTCCTAACTAAATATGTTTCCTCAGTCACAAATGGACTTTTACATGCCATAAGCACACAGAAAAAATAAGTTCATGTTTTAAAAGCGTCTTATGGAAGAGCTAATTCTCCTGTGGTGAGAAAAAATAGTCAGTCATTCAAAACATGCTTGACAGCTCTCGCCTGCACTAACTTTTTGCCGTAAATAGATAACTTGGCAAATATTATAGTTTTTGTAAGAGAATTTTTCTCCTCAATAGGTTATTTTTCCTTACAATGACATAGGGTGTTATTTTCAGTACACAAATCACGCGGTAATGCTTTACACGCTCCACTAGTATATCACTGCTACACATTTTGTAGGACTTGAATATGAAAACCTAACTAGGATATGCTTACACTGGATATGAACAAAACTAGTGAAGTGAATACTCTCTTCATCCCATATTGTCACCTTTCTTCTAAATAACAAAGATACCCTAGAATCTCCATTGGCCATTGTTTACGACCTCTGTCTGTATGTTAATTCATCTTTTTGTCACATTTAAACAGAATTAACCGTAGAAAATAAACAGTTCTCTAAGTTTCTTGAGGTAGGAACAACTTAGAAAAACTGTGGGATTTTTCCGAATTCTTATAAATTCGAAGTTCGGAACTGTCACCTTGAATGAGCTAGCGAAATTTTACTCTGGGTGCACATAGTGCAAACACTGTCCAACAAGTCTAAGCAGAATCTTTCGTTAGAATAAACCAACGGTCTTCAAAGTTCACTTAAACCACTCTCCTTAGTGGGAAATAAATTAGTTGTGTGACAAGCTAATAAACCTATCATCATCTTTCCGAATTAAATTCACTGACTTTTGTAAATCTAACACGTCCGATGACGATCGGATTCATTGATAAATCAATTATATGTTAAATCCTCTGTAAATCATAGACTAGCCTGTTATGGCTACATTTTCTTGAAAATTCTTCAGAGTTGTAGGCGTTATCATGCTGACTAAGGCATTGAATCGCCTGTTCAAAATTAGTAGAAAAAACTTTCGGTCTTAAAGGGAAACTTATTTTTAAAACAACGTAATTACGACCAGATGACCATAAAATATTATCATAAATCTCCACAATCCATCGAATGAACAAAACATGCGTCGTATTCAGCGACCGGCAAAAATCACATATTGTATGCAGCTTATTCAGTGAACGGCCTTATATTTTTGTTGTTTCTGTAAAAATAAAAATGCTCAAGATAGACACTATGCATTGCATTAGGAACAAACTACGTGGAATCCATAATACAAAAAGAAAAATAATCAGATACAAATGCTCTACACAACCGTAAAACCAAATCAAATATCTTTCTGCCTTATGATGTCGTCTATCTTATTACTTCTGGAGGATGCAAAAGCACAGAAAGTGATTGCAATTACTAAAACATACAGAAGTACAGAAAAATTTGGATAATTAAGCCAGATTATATGTTTGTTGCCAAGTAAAATTTTAACTAAAAAGTAGGTTACAACAAAAGTTTACCCCGACAGTAAAGATGATCTCTAAATAAACAGGATAAACCATGCTAACTAAGTATAACCTTTATCTTCTTCAGAATTTGAAGTTTCAAGTGACAAGAGTGTCCGAATTTAATACGGGCAGTCAAACATCAATCATGTCAGAAACGGTGAACTCAGAGTTAAAAATCCTACTAAAACTTCAACATTTTGCGCCGTTCAAATTGACATAACTCATCATCATCACCAGATTACCACTTTTACAGTTTAGTAAAATATTTAAAATGACTGAAAAGTCAGTCAGTTCTTCTCAAGAAACAATCAGGGTATCAAATCAGTATCGACCCGAATGTTACAGGTTTTGTACACTATGATAGAGTACAAAACACTCCTATCCAAGTATTCAGAAAATCGAAAGTGAGTTTCATATGTATGTAACCTGTATTTAGCGAGCTGTGACTTTATGAATAAGGCTTGGATAGGAGTGGTGTAGCAAATAAGTAACTTGGATAATAACGACTACATGGCATTACCGCATTTGATGATGAAACCCACGGTAAAGCTTGTAGGTGAAACGTCGAAGACTGAAAAGCCTAAGACAGTTTGCATTCTTATACTGATCTATACATCTTCCCTAGCATTCATTCAAAATAAGTCATATGGGTACAAAAGTGCTATTATTTCTATATATTCAACCTGAAACTAGCTTACCTAACCTGAAAATATTAGACAATTTGCAAAAAATAATCCATGCTATCAACGAAATTTGCTGGATAAATGTCAAAAATTAGACGTTCGCTGCTATCTTCTTTGTCATTTCCATAAAATGGTAATGCATATTTCTTTCTTTAAGGGCTTGAGACAAAGTAGAGACAAAATGTGGTCAGGATATCCGCCAGTATGCGACTACTCCCAATTATTGAAATTTCTTTAGAACAGCAGTGCAAGTCAACCATTTTAAAGAAGTGCTGTTGCGTCTTTTATAGCTACCTAACTCTGGTGAGTTGCTCAGAGTCAGAGGTAAAGTCAATAGGCACGACATATTAATTTCAAATTCATCCATTATCAAACCCAGAGGAATGAGAAACCTTTTTGCAGTGCCTGTCCGCGCAATACTGGAATAGTTT